GACAAGTAAAAACTGGTGAAAAGCGAAGGCTGAATTTTGAAAAAAGCAGTCACTGCAAACCAAATCACTCCTTTCATGCACAATCCAGCCTCGACAGTGTTATTTCACAGAAACATCCTCCCCCACCACACACACACACACACACACACACACAGTAAAAACTGAAGGTATTTTTCATTCTATTATTTTCTGTTTCAGGTTTAGAATAACAGCCGAACAGAACCAGGCTCGCTGCTGGTGCGTGAAATTAATGCCGCTGTTTCGTGTTGATAATCCAGTTTAAAATGCCCCCAATCAACACCTTTCTGTCTAACTTGGGGCATCTTTCTTTTTCTTTAACCATAGTCGTCTTGCTTAAACTCTGCAGAAAGCACGGCTGTAGTAATTTTCTAAATTAGAGCCTTAATCCCGAGCCCTACAAAAGGTAAAAGAGGGCATGACTGAGATAAACACATTTTAAAGACTGATTGGTTAATCTTTTGTTAAGACTGAAAATCTGTGAGGTGGGGAGAAGAATTAGACTGACAAATATTAAGTGTAGAGAAGGGAAAGCAGTTAATGTTAAGCGACTGTCACAAAAGTCTTTGTTGGTGCAACTTGGTTGATTGCTGGAATTCCTGTTTTGCAATTTTAGATGCATTAGATGCAGACAAAAGAACCAAGATTTAAAAAAAGATTAGCATATTAAAGGGGAATTCCAGGATTTTTCAAAAGTTCTGCATAATTCAAGCATTGCGATGTAAACAAAGTCATTTGGAGTGTTTTGATGTGAAATGGTTCACTGTAGAGAAATTTACAAACTTTCTTGTTTCCTTACAGTGGTGGTGATAGGAACCAGGGGTCGCCATGTCTACAACACAAATACTGCCATTTTATTTATTATCCAAAACTACCAGTGAACCTACACGAGTCTTCTGAATTTTCATACATAATGTTCGAAAAGCAGGTTTTCTTTGGGTACTACTTTTCCTTGGAATGCCCTGCATGTATCCCTCCGCCATGATTTAAAAAAAAGTCAAAAGTTTATCTTAAAACTATCATAAAACAATGTCTCTCATTCGGAAATGAATTTGGATTTAGAGACATTAAACTCTTCAGACGTCTGGTTCCTATCACCACCACTGTGAACAATTCTGATTCGGTAAGTTTCTCTAGAGCAGAGCATTTCACACCAAACCACTCTGAATGACTTTGTTTATATCTTTATCATTTAATTATACACACATTTTGAAAAATTGGTGGCATTCTCCTTTAAGCATTGGGTCTTCAACTGCACTTTCAAAACAATCAACAATTTTTGCAACAGCATTTTCTCCCCAAAGGGTTTCCACAAATGAAGTCAATCAGCAAAGATATGTTCGGTGTCTTAGCAACCACCAGGGAAACCCTAGCAACGGCCTAGCAACACCTTAGCAACCAGCTGGGATGCAATAGCAATGGCCAAGCAACACCTTAGCAACTACATAGAAACACCTGGGATACCACAGTAACTGCCTAGCAACACCTTAGCAACCATCAGGGATCCCACAACAATGGCTGAGCTACACTTTAGCAACCACCTGGGATCCTGTAGCGACTGCCTAGCAACATCACAGCAACCACATAGGATACCACAGCAACGGCCTAGAAGCACCGTTAGCAATCAAGTGGCTAGTAATTTGAAGTTCATTCAAGCCAATATCAGAAACCACATAAGCATTTTAAAGTGAAGGGAACTGCAACATTTCTCAGGTGGTACAGCTTTCATGGACTCCCAAATGGAGCAATTTGGGCAAATAAATAAATAAATAAATAAAGTCAAGGCCACACCCCCTCTATTCTGTGCCACTGTGTTTGTTGACATCATAATAATATCGCAGTGTGAGGCCAGGCCTGCCCAGGCCCTCCGACACCGTCAGCGAGAAGCAGAGAAACATGAATTAAAAAGGCCAATGAAAAAGGGCTTAATGTGCACTCCAGTTTATAGAGGTTGCTATTAAGTTTTTATATGTGGGGTGACATTTTGTGACTGCAGAAACGGCAACGTTATAAGCTTTATGGCGTCATTAGGTCCTGACCTCAGGTCAGCCCGGCAGCCTGGAGGGCTCTGGCAGACTCGTCTAAAACACCAGGAGAGCTTTCTCAATGGGTCCAGCTATGTCACGGTACTTAAGGGTCAAAGCGACCCCCACTTCGGCCCTAATACGCCACGGCAAGACACGGTGTCAGCTTTCATTAGCCCAAAAAATGCGATAAATCAAGTCATCTCCGTTAAAGCCTCGCGCACAGGCCCAGTTATTGTTGTACACGAAGCTACAGAGTAAGATGTATTAGATTAAAGCCTAGGTAACTGAATCAAAGCGCAAATCTGGCAACATCTCTAATTCTTCTGGACGAAGTTTTGATCAAAGTTATTAGGAACAATTTTTCAGCGAGAGGTGGCCAAGGTCCTACAAGAAAAGCAAGAGTGATGGGCCTAATTTTGCTCCTGGGAAATAAGGTGCCATATAACAATCTGATTTCATTTCTTCCAATCTCCCATCTGCTGCACCTGAATTATCAATGCATCGCGCATCGGGGCGGAGAGGTGGTAGTTTATGAAGGGATATATTGCAATCATTTTGCAATTACAATTTCAGCATCATAGATTAAATGGGAGGAGTGTTCAAAGAAGCCAAGCGATTATGACAGCATTACGGCATGCGTGAGCAAAACCAATGAAGACTCCTCGCCCTTTTCACAACATGGAAAAATTCTCTTATATGGAAATATGTGTTATTTTACATTTCTCAACTACTTATAAATACCTAGCTCCCATGTCCCCCTTAATTACGCGGTGGTTCATTTCTACATGCAAAGAAAACAGGAGGGCCGTATTTAGACGGTAACCGCAGCGCAGGGAAAGCCTCCCATTAACCTTTTCTCAGCCTCAGGGGACTTTGTCACAACCTGGCAACCCCAGGTGGAGCGGGAGCCCACAGCACTTCAAGCCGCAACTTGGCTGCCACTCTGTCGGAGTGGGAACCGAAGATTCCAGCAAATCCAGCAGTCCTCCAGCACAAAGGATAAAAATGGATATGAACCGAAATATGAGGTGGCACCGCCTATGAGAAACACGAAAAGCGGTCACAGGTTTCTAGGTTGTTTATTTTTACTTCTTTTTCTTTCCTTTTTTTTTTTTCTCTCCTCCCTTAAAACCAAACTTGTAAAAGGGCTCCGAGCTTGGATGTTGTTTTAGTGGAGAGGTGGTGAGTTTGAGACAGGTTTGTGGCTCTGTCTGTTATGAAAGACATGAGTAACACTTTATTTTAGTAGGCTGCAGTGCGTGTTTGGGGGATTTTCGCTATTTACCCTCAGACTCCTTTGTATCCTGCTTTGTATTATGTGCTACTTACCTGTTAAGAGTTAACCACTTAAAATCCCAGGCTTATTACACACTAAGGCTTATTATTCAGTAATAATACAAGGACTACAATGCAAACTGACAGAGCTATTCTTAAGTTATAGACGCGCGTAATAAAACTGGCCATTTAAGGGGGTTTATTAATCACTCTGTATGATTGATCAGATGGTTTCTCTAAGTTTGAAGTTTTTTCTTTTGTCTCAGCACAGTTACTTTGTCCAATAAAAATCAGGAATGCAGTGATCCAATAAACTGCATCAGTATCGGCACCAGTACTGACCTTATTAAACAGACTGAGTATCAGCAAGACAGAACCAATCCACATTTGCTGCTTTTTCTAAGTTGTGGTCATTACAAAATTGTAAGAGCATGTTGTCCAGCAGACTTTGCCATACATTTATGTCTTATGTACAGTCTTTTCATTTTTTTTTTTATCTAAAGTGAGCTTCACACATGCGAGACACATCAACGCTTTGATTTATACCACCTTAAAAAATGTCTTTTCCTTCATACTTCAGTTATGCCTTTTCAAAGATTGTTATAAATCAATATACAGCATTTTGGATTGAAACTCTTCTGCAGTCGCCTCATCTTTTACATAGTAGGATGATCCAGAGCAGTTACACACAGTGAGCTTAACAGATTTTAAACTGAAGAAGACAAAAAGCTGCTGGTACCGGATCAGTACTGGGTACGGGTTGGCGATATGGCACAAACATACTATTCACAATACTTGAAGATATTTTCACGGTACTCGATACACAGAGGGGAATCCCCTTCAGAGGTGGCCTCATGATTTATGTGCCTTAATTTTCTATCTGTAATGTTTAGATTGTTTTTATTAAATGTAATCATTATGCTTGTTGTGTTTCAACTCTTATTTCACTGTTGACCTTTGGCTGGAAACAAAAGTGTTAAAGTATTGAAAATCCCAACAGGAAATTGTCCAATCAGGATTTTATTTGTTAGTGGTATCTAGCTAGATACAGCCATGCTAGCTTTCCCTTTGGTCAGGACTTCAGGAGCTGGACTGAAAGCCTAACATGTCAGATTAACCACCATCAAAATTAGGAAGTGACAGTGGAATCATGTTGTCATTTTCAATGGGAGCAATTTTGTGAGTAAAAAAAATCACTCCAGGCCTTCTGGAAGTTCTAGATATGTCACTGACTGAATACAAGTGATAGTCTAAGTTTCAGTTAGCTGTTAGAAATGGAAAACAGCAACAGCGCTATGTCAGGGCTCTTTACTGAGTCACTGTAAAACTGCTACAAAGAAAAACATGTTAATGTCTGTTACAAGCGTCAAATAAAACACAGATCATCTTTTACATCTTTTTAGGTTTATAAAAACCTGTGTTCAATCGATATCAGGCAAAAAACCTTCATGCGCATTTGCAGCTTAGTGCTAACATACTACTAGAATCCCATAGCAGCGCTAGCACATATTAGCCCGATCGTAGATGTGTTTTTGTTTTATGTTTGGATCAAGTCTTGATATTTGTGGCCCAAACTGAAAGTATAGCACCAACAGTCACAGTTCACCACTGCTGATATGTATCCCGATATTTTGACACTAATAGTGAAAACATCACAAAACTGGCAATAAAAACATTTCATCAATTTTTTTCACACTTTTTAATGATTTCTATTCAACATTTGTCTAATTAAAGATGACTAATTACTGTTTTTGCAATGAATCATGTCAATATTCTTTAAATACTGATGATACCCACAATAAAAAAGCACATTGTGACATACTGAAAAAATAATAAAACACTTCACTTGAACCCTCCTACATTACATTGACATAACCTAGCCATAAACATATAATGGCAGATGTCTTATGCTGTTGTGAGTTTTCATTTACTATTACCATCAAACATTACGACATCTGTCATGAAAATTACCAGGAATAGTAACATGATACCGTTATATCACTGACCAAAATCTGTCACGACAACGCATGACAGCATATGACATCTGCCACGACATGTTTATGATTTTGTCAGTGTTATGCAGGAGGGTTCAAGTAATTATATTCACTATAACGATAAAATACTGTCATATTTCCCACCCCTAGTGCTCAGTCTGACTACAGGTACTGCAATTGGTATTGGGGGAGAAAAAGTGGCATTGGTGTGTCTGTAGTAAAAATCTAAAAATACACCTAAAAAAAAGGTTTAAAATAGTGTGGCACTTAGAAATATCCTGCCAAGCTTTCTTAAGGGTGTGCCTTAGTTACGACTAAGGTCTTTCAGATGTTGTGGCATCTTGAGTTTGTGTCAGTCATAAAGAGGTGGAGGAACCTGCTGTTAGCAGCGATCTGTATTCCTCTCCTAAAGAGTCCCAGGAAAATGTGCTAGTATTCACCTAAAATGGAGAGAAGAGTAATCGTAAGAATCCAACAAGTCGAACTGCATAAAGTCCAACAGAATAATCTGTCAAGAGCTTTATAATGAAGGGATCCATGTAATCATCATCAATAGTATGACAAAGGTCATGACTGTGTTGAGAGGTACTGTAAAATAATATAAATGTAAATGAAGAATAAAGACCAAAGGTTCCTTTACTTACCTGAACAACATGCTGTCTAACTAGATGTGGATGCTTACAGAAACCCTGAAGCTTCTTGCAAAGCTGTTCAGGTGTTGAGTACAGATACAAACCTACATAAAGGAGCAAGAAATACATATTTGATTACAAAAAAACCTCAAAGCATGGAGCTCAGACAAACCACTTCCATCATTAAAAATGCACTCAGCTCCATGATGGGTAATGTTTTACATTATTGAACTGTGGTTTTGGTTTTATTTATTTATATAAATCAGCAGTATGCTTTATGTCCAATGCTTAGAATGTGCTTTAAGATGAATTACTCATTACTACAGATATAATTTAAAGCTTTGTCAATGGCAATTAAATGTTTTCTTCTTCAAGAAGAAGGGAGTATGAAAGGGTATATGATCTTAAGATACCATCGTCACTGTCAGCTTCTTCTTCTTCAAAAAAAGTCTTACCAGGGAATATTTCTGGGTAGACGAGAGCTTTCGGGCACAGAGGGTAGCAACCACAGTGGACCGCTTCTAACCTGCAATGTCAGATATATTTCAGATAAAATTATATTTCCTTTAAACTTTCATAACCGCTCAATATGGTCAGCATGGTAAGACACTGTTATTGCAGACTAGTAGTGGGCGGTATGGCCAAAACTTTACATCACGGTACAATTAAAATGTCTGACAGCTTCGGTTTACATCATGTATTTATATTTTCAAATTAAACCGTTTAAGATGCTTAAATTAAACCTATGTCTATACATTAACACTGGCTTATGATTCTAGGCTGTCCCTTTTTTTTTTATTAAGAAACATTTTTTAAGCAACTAATATAAATGTTAAAATATTTTAATAGTGCAAAATAGCAACAACAAAATTGAACAGTATATATATAAACCTATGTCTATATTGCTTTCCAACTCTAGCCCTGCAGGTCTCCGACCACCAGACACTGCTTGAATTTGAAGAATATTTGACATTCATGCTTCAGTACCAACTGGTCCATGGCTTGTATTGTGCACAAGGCTTTGACCGTGTGGTCTGATTCAGGTGACCGAGTTAAGCGAGTTAGGCTAAGGCTAGCCCCAAAAGACTGGCCACTCCTTTATGTCTGCTGCCCGAAAAAAAAGTGAACTACTTCAGATGCAGCAGACTCATACTCGAGAAAGAACTTCAACCAGTCTACCACCCACTATTATTGCAGACATCAACAAAGAGGAAGATATGTCTTATCAGTAATTGGTAACTGCAGATTGCAAAAAATACCCAATCAATTTAGTTTATAAAGTACTAGCATAATTCAGAGTGAAGTCTGGCTGATATTAAAAGTTTGTTACTAATACTGACTTTTAGGAGCTAAAAATTCCAATAACCAATAATATCGGCTGATGTGATCTAATAAGGTGAAAATTAACATAAACTGCAATAGCTGCAGTTATCTTCATGCCAGAAGTGTAGACTTGAGTCATATGACTTGGACTCGAATCAGACTCAAGTCACAAATTTGATGACTTGAGACTTAACAGAATCCAAAAAGATTTTGACTTGAACACTAATAACTCCATCTTTGACTTGGATGAGCAAGAAACTCATCAAAAGTGATCAACTCTAACGTTTATTTTTTTTTTACTTTTATTGTAAAGTTCGGTTCTGCATAAACTACAAGGTGATTCAAAAAGATTAATCCGATTTCAAAATGATTTATTTCACTTGTAAATCATTACAGAACAATGCAGTAAACTGTAAATGGTTTAAATGAGCATAAAGTTTACCATGTAATTTTACAAGTGCTCAGTATGAACCTCCTCCAGCTGTGCAGACAACATCAACACCATAGTCAAATTCATCCCATACTTGATTGAGCATGTCGGGTGTCGCTGCACTCACAGCTCTTTCAGTGTGATTTCGGAGATTATCCAGTGTTGTGGAACCAACGGCGAACGCTCTGAGCTGTTGGAGGTTCACTGCAGACGAAAATCAAGCTGCACAGTTATGACGGATTCACTCTTATTGAAGTAGAGAACACAAAGTGCTTTCTGCTCAGGGGTCTCCACCTCCTCACAGACTGATGGGAGCCATCTTCCGGTGACAGAAACTCTATGACCCCCTCTTTCTATCGGATTGTGATTGGTTCCTAGTCGCCTCACAGTTGTAAAAAATATGGTGCTTTGAAATCAGATTCATCTTTTTGAATCACCCTGTATTGTTTCTGTTGTGGTGATACACTTATTTAGAAAAGTATATTACTGAGGTTTACCTTTACCATATAAAACAACTCACTAATTATTGGCAGGATTTTGGCCGATACTTACATCCGCTGATGTATTTATAATATCAATATCAGCTGATATTATCAGCCAGCCAATATATCGGTTGGGCCCTATATCAAGCCAGTTCAAATGCATTTTATCTATACAATAGTGAAGGTCACAAAGCATCTTGAGAGCAATGTGCCAACCCCTAATGAGGTCGAGAAAAACTGCCTTCAAAAGAAGAAACCTTGAAAGGAGCCGAGATTCAAAAGGAAAACTCCTCCTCTGGGCGGCTCTGGATAGTTATTCTCAAAGTTTTAAGCAAAGGAGACATGGATGAAATTTACATTTTACCATGTCAAACTCCAAAATACTCAGTGAATAGTTTAATCTAGGGCAAAACTTCACTCCCAACTGACTCAACTCATCTGAACCCCGCAATGCTGCCGGTGGAAAATGACCGGCTGTTTAAATATTTTGTAGAATGAGCATTAATATTTCATAAGTCCATCCATCACTCCCCTCGCTATCAGATCACCATCTCATTCCCCATGCTAAAGCCATGCATATTTTAATACACGATTAGTTCGCTGCCATTCAACTTTGCATTTTGGTGGTTTTGATTGAACGACTAGTCTTCTCAAAGAGGCTTTAGTCGTAATGGTGATCACAATTGAGTTTGTAGTGGCTCTTATCTCAGGGTCACTTCACACAATGACACGATAAAGCTGTTAGATCCGTGGTCAACTTGGGGGCTTTGGTCAGGGGTTGAAGCCAATGCTGGTCTGACACTTTAGTCATGGAGTCATCATCAGTAACTGATTTGATGTGAATTATGCAGTATGTGTTCCCGATGTGGCTGCAACGGTCATCTGACCAGTCCATGCAAATGTCTAAGAACCATCTACATGAGCATAAAACGCTGCTGGTTGTTTACTCCTGAAATGTAGGAAAGATGCTGTAAATTACTCGGGCTGCACACTGTGATGTTTTGCTTTGTTTTCTGTGTAATGAGAACAGGTTTACCATCAAAGATACAGATGAGTAATTGTGTGGGTGTTTTGATGAATCATGCAGTCCAACAATAGCAAATTTCTTTGGTCAAAATAATACAGGCCAGTGTTTATGTTACATGTTATGTAGTGTTTATCATGTTACTTTATTGATTAGGGTTCCACTGAAATACCAGTTGATGACCCGCAGTTTTATTGGTAGATTCTCACAACAATGGTCACCAACCCTCCTTCTGGAGATCTATGCTCCAGCACATTTCACCTCCAACCCAAATCTAACACACTTCCTTCAGCTATTCAAGAACTTTAAAAGGCAATAATTTCATGGATCTGGTGGAGTCAATTAGGGTTGCAGCTCTAGTCTGCATGATGGCAGATGTCTAGAAGCAGGGTTAGTGACCACTTATATGGACTGTGCCACTGGGGAACCCGATATGAAGCACTCCCTGCTCAACTATATGACAGCAAAACAGGCTGATGTGGTGAACCTAAACACAAGCTACCATCATGGTAAAAAGAATAAAAAAAAAACATAATAAAATGTATCCAAACACTCGAAGAATAAGCCTGTAGTTTGCACAATGGATGTGAAAAGTCCAAAGTAAAACTCCAATTAAGCATGTAGATTCAGGGACGTAGGAAACAGGGGTGCCAGTATGGGACCCATGTCTGCTTTCTGCTGTGGTCATGCACTGTTTAAGTTAAAGCTGCATTTTTAGAGCAAAGTGAACCGCGTCCCTCACCAACAGTTGGCCGCTTTGCAGGCATATAGCTAAAACATAAGCAGGAATTTTCAGGCTATTTCTGAGCCCCAGCACAGCCTAATATTGTTTTCAAAACGTTACATTTTCAGCCAACGTCATCATCTCCCGCTCTCATATATTTTTCTTCAACAGTTGTGATCATTTCTCGCTAGATGTGCGAGTTTAACTTGACCAGGGGCATGACACAAGTGATTTCCCACCTCATATCAGTAATCTGATTGGCCGACGCTCAGCTCTTATGCATAAAGTTAGCAGAAAGAAGAGAGAGAAAGAGAGAGGAGAGACAGCAGGGTGAGCATCACGTCAGTGGTTGTTGGTCATATGTGCATCATTGTGCTGCTGTCACTCAACACAAAGATATGTTCAGTTTCATGTTATCCAAACAATCCAAATGGGAAAAAAAAAAAAATAGAACACACAATATTTAGCATGACATCATGGTGTACATCACCTATATATGCTGCTAAAATATCAGTACCCCCAACCGTAAAAAAAGAAATCTCGCTGCTGTCAGAACACAACCTCTTATCTCCAAAGAGGAAACTTTACAGGAGAAGGAAAAATGTTCTTGATTTTTAATGGAAGTAAATGGAAAATATTTTTTCCCAATCATTTTGGACCATTTCTGTTGGTCTGTTAATCATTTAATTTTGACACAACATAAAGGGCAGCTGCCATTTTCAAATTATATCAAAAAATGAAAAATGACAAAAATATATAATAAAAAGAACAATAAACTAAAGCACTACCTTTAGGGAAAAACAGTCCCATTAGCTAACGATAGTGTTTAGTTACCTCGCTTGTTTTGCTTGTGTTATTGATGGCAACCCAACACCAAAAGTTTAGCAAACTGTCCCCAGATGTATATTCTCATTACAAGACCACATCTGGTCCCGTGAGATTAATGAAAGAAAAAAAAATAAAGATGTGTGACAACTGAGAATGGATAATCATACCTGTTCATAAAGCACTATTGAACTACAACAACCAGAGCATTCAATTTAAATGTAAGTTTTACATTTAAATATATAAATATAAAATGATATCAGCCAATATTATCAATTATCAGAATTTTTACACGCTTAAAATCATCATCGTATCAGCTGCAAAATTCTCATATCAGTCAGAGCCTATTACTGATTCAACAGTGCATTTTTAATATATTGCAAAATGTACCACAATCAGAATTTGTAGCAATATAATCACAAAACTGGTATTTTGGCCTCCACACTGATGGTCAAATGTTCACATCTGCACCTAAGTGTAAATGTCTTAACACAGTCAAGCCATCAAAGTGTAGCTATACAAACTCTGAACGCAACCTACATCGTACTATCAGCAGCTCCCTCTGATCTAATGCAATGTGAACGCGGAAACTCAGAGGCGCTCAAGCTCTGGTCTGGGGCAGCTCGTCTTATGAAACTGATTAAGGTCAGTTCCATGTCAATGCAGTTAATGTGTGAGCGTGCAAATGCTTATCAGGCTTTTCATCTCAAATATAATT